TGCGGGAGGCCCCACAGACATTCTGGAGTTGAGTGCCCTGTAGAAACACCTGGGCACCTGCCCCTCTTCCCCGTGCCCGGATGCAAAGCCCGTGCAGGGTGAATGAGGGCAAGCTCGCCTCCCCCGGGCTTTGCTTTTTCACTTTTCAACTTGTAATTATTTTCTAATTATAGAAGTAATGCCGGCTTGCTGGAAAAAAAGAAAGAGAAACCCACAGGAGTATAGAAAGTTAGAAGACTAAATGCCCCATCTCTTCTGAGTTCCCCGCTCCCTCTCATGACCGCTGTTAACAGTTGGGCTGAGCCATCTAGACTTTTTAATGTGTATGTAAACACATGCAGCTTGCATGTGTTTTGCTCTTCAACTCAATTTTTTTTTATGTCAGAATGTGCACGGTCTTCTATTCTAGGTAACAGGGGCCTACTAGTACTTTGTATAAATAAATCTCAGATTCTAGATGCCGCGCAAGTTACAGTGCAGGGCGGGGGCCAGCCCAGTAAGTTGGAAACATCGGACATAAAAACGCGTCCGATCCGCCTGACCTACTAAGCCCTCTAGGTAGCAACACGGGACGCTGGAGCGTCTGTCGCTCCCCCTCGTGATCTGCCTGGCTGGGAGCTGCTGCAGCTGCCCAGCTTCACAGGAAAAAGCACACTGCACATCACGAGCCCGGGCAAAGATCCAAGTCCAAAATTCAAACGCTCCCTGCTGAACGCGTTTCGCTTTCACGCCATCCTAAAGTTGGAAGGTCGTAGGTCAAGCAGCTTGAGTTGGGGCTGGCTGTCATTATGTGGTGGCTTACTGACAGGCACTGCAGTTGTTCTCATGTGTGCTCGAATACGACAATGCTTTAATCAACGCCCTTGTCTCGATGTCCCTGGATTCCGACATGCTTGTTCAGTGTTTCTGTAGGGTGGATTCCTACCGGAAGCTATTGGACCATAATAGAAGCACATATACAATTTTGATAAATAATGAGATTGCTTTCTAGAAGATTGTACCAATTTATACTCCTGCCAAGAGGGTATGAGAACATTCATTTTCAATAGAACTCTCCTGGGAGTTGTCTCAGATTTTCATTTTTGCACCCCTAATTAGGGAAAAGGTACCTTGAAAAATTTTGCATTTTGGGGGTGGGTGTTTGGCCTAGTGGATAAGAAACCCTTGTCCCATATTGTAGTGCCAGGTTCTATGCTCAGCTCTGGCTCCTGACCCCAGCTTCCTGCTAAAGACCCTGGGAGGCAACAGTGATGGCCCGAGTCAGTGGGTTCCTAGCGCCCATGTGAATTGAATTCCCAGTTCCTGTCTTCAGCTCTGGTACAACTCTGATCCTTACAGGCATCTGGGGAACCAGTGGATGGGATCTCTGTGTCTCCCTGTCTTTCTCTCTCTCTTTCTCTAATAAGTAAGTAAATAATATTTAAAAATCTGCCCGCCTTCAACGGAGTGACGCTAAGCATGGTTTCTTTCACAGGCATGCTGGCTGTTTGTGTATCTTCTGTGAATTATTCCTGTCTCCTGTGCAAGCTCCCTCCTCTCTGCCTCTCATCACCTCTCTGCATTCCCAGGATCTCGACAGTCCCCGCCCACCTCACTTCAATAGAAGGAAATAATACGGAGGGCAAGGGCAAGGGCAAGGCTGAAAGAAAGCAGGTCCTGAGGTATCAGAGAAAGGGGCTCCCGGGCTCCCACGCGGGAGCATTTGTCTTTTGAAGGCACCTGCCTGAGAGGCAACGTCACCTCCAAAAACTGGATCGCTAATGGCACCATTCCAGGCTTCAACGGGAAAAATACTTGCAGTGGGAAGACCTAGCTGGCACCCCCATTATAATATTGAGTCAACGCTTTCTTTTCTATCTTTGTTAGTAAACAAAGCCTTTAGCTAAGTATTCACACTTCCACATATTAATCGAAGGAGTCCATCAGAAATGCAGACAAAAACAGCAGTATGCGATGCTTGTCAAAGCGTTGCTTACTGGATCAGAACACTGAAAACTATTTTAAACGTCCATCAGTGAAGAACAGGTTAATGACAGTTTAGCTGATACGTCTGAGGCAATGCAGTTCAGAATCTATAAATGATGCTGGAAGAAGTATACATTCCACGTCGCTGGAAATTCACTTTACATTAACTACATATATGCAAAGTGGAAAACCCACCAGAGGTAAATGTATTAAAATCCCAGCAAGGAATTATATCTGGGGAACAGAGACATAGATAACTTTTTAATTTTCGTTTTTGGACGGTTGGGCATCTTTCAATTTGAGGAGTGAACACGTAGTACTGTCTGAACAGAAAAGTTACCTTTAAATGATAGAAATCCTAAAAAATACTTTATGGAATTATTTTCACAGATCATTCCCTTTGAACCTGGAGATCACTGAGAAATCACACAGCTCCTGCCTTGCCAAGGTTCAGTGCTCAGTGACTCCTACCTGAAGGAATCCATGGCCACACCCATCTGTGACTGGGACCACGCCCTCCAGGCGTCGCCTTCCCAACACCCAACTCCTCCAGTCTCTGCGGGAGCCTCAGGCTCTCTCCCTCTCCAGCCCAGGGCCCCACTCTCCCCAAGCCCTGTTGCGCCCCCAGCTCCTGGCCTCACTCTTATCTCACTCACTCTTACCTGGGTCCTCCAAGCATCTTCTAAGTTATATCCCTCAACCCCCCCTCCCATTTTTTAACAATAAGTTTATTTATGTGTTTTTATTTATTTGAAAGGCAGATACAGAAAGAGAGGGGAGAGAGATCTTCCATCCACTGGTTCTCTTCCCAAGTGCCTGCAACAGCTGGGAGTGGGTCAAGCCAAAGCCAGGAACCAGGAACTCCATCCAGTTCTCCCACACTGGTGACAGGGACCCAAGTACTTGAGCCATCATCTGCTGTCTCCCAGGGTGTGCATTAGCAAGAAGCTGAATGAGAATTGGAGGCCAGACTCAATCCCTTATGGACTGGGATGCCAGTACCCTAAGCAGAGGCTTGACTCACTGTGCCACCATTCCTATCCCACCAGTCTCCCCTCCACCACCGCAAATTCCATTTCAAATTGAATTTCTATATTGCTGCTTCCACTCTAGGAAGCTTTATAATGCGTGCACAAGCAGCAATACACGAACTATGGTTGATTACACATTTGTGATTATTTCTGTAATTTATTTTAAAACTAGGCATCAAACCTTTGGGCAGACTTGCCTACGCTATTTGAATTGCCTAATGCACAGTGTTTATTTGCTAAAACTGTCACATCTCACAGGCCTGTGTTTCATCTGAAAGCCCTTTTGTTATTTTCCAGTGGCCTCAGCACAGTTTTAACATCAAGAACGGTGCTGGACCTTTTATCTCTATCTAAGACTTCATCACTCTCAGAGATACTGCACTGATATAGAGCACTGCTTCGGAAGGATTTGACTGGCTCTGTTACACGGCAGGCACTGTGCTAACTGCCAGGGAACTACGGAGTGAAAGTGCACCTTTGCTGATATGCAAAAGCTTACAGTGTGGATGGACAGGCAGACAAGTCCCTAATTTGATGCCGTACTGGTGTTAGGTGTCCCAGCTTCTAACCACACACACAGCACAAGGGAGAGAGGACCTGAAGGAGGCTGTTATCCGGGGAGGTTTCCAGGGGGACCCTTGAGAGGTCTTAAAAGGTATATGTAGTGCTGGCTGTATCACTCTGTAAACACTGTAGCATTTATTGGATCACATACTTAAAATGTGCAAAGGGTGGACTTTATAGCTTGCCAATTAGATCTCAACAAAGCTATTAAAAAAAAAAAAAAGATGAGGGCAGGTGCTTGACCTTGCAGTTGAGATTTCCTTGTTCTACATCAGAATACCTGGGTTTGATATCTGGCTCCACTCCTGATTCCAACTTCCTGTTAATGCAGACCCTGGAGAGCAGGGATGATGGCTCAAGAAACTGGGTCCATCCCACTCACACAGGTGACCTGGATTGAGTTCCTGGCTCCCAGCTTTGGCCTAGGCCTAATCCCTGAGCCTGTGGTCATTGTGGGGAATGAGCAAATTAATAGAATATGCCACCACTTGCATCGCCAGCTTCCTATTGAAGCAGTAGTTCAAGTCTTGGCTGCTCTGCTTCCTATCCAGTTCCCTGCTAATGCACCTGTCAGGGCAGCAGAAGATGATCTAAATGCTTGGGCCCTGGCCACCCACGTGGGAGACCCAGCTGGAGTTCTTGGCTCCTGGCTTCACCCTGGCCCAGTTCCAGCTGCTGCAGCCAGTTGGGGAGTAAGCCAGCAAATGGAAGATCTCTCTTTTTTCTCTCTCTCTGGTTCTTTCTCTCTCTTGCTCTGCCTTTCAAATAAATAAATAAAATCTTGTAAAAATAAATATGTTAGAAAATGTATAGACCTGGGTCAAATACACAAGAGGGGAAAGAACATCTTAGAGAGCGAGGAAGAGCAAGGGCAAGTATGAAGCCAGGAACCAGTGCGACAAGTTGGGCAGCCTGCCAGTCCTTGGTGAGGTGGGACTGTAGGCTAGATGCAGACAGCTCAGGTCTCCAAAGGGATTTAAGGAACAGAATCACAGGAGCAATTTGGCGGTCATCGCATGAATGCAGCGACAACGATACGCTGGGCACCTGCTGTGGTTTTTTTTTTTCTTTCTGTTATTGACCCAAGGCCCTTCCTCTGCCAAGTCTAAAATAGGGAAGAAGTTTGAAGAAAAGAAAGAACCCAGTTGCCCAAGCACTCAAACACAAAAATGTTTTCTAGAAATCATTGAGGTCCCACCTCCCTCCATCTAGGCAGATTTCTGTTAAACCATCCTTGACATGCCCTGCTGAGGCAGGGTCCCCGTGGGATGGCCATGGGCTCAGAACAAGCATTCTCCTATGGCCCCTTGCAAGCCCAACCACACACGGGCAGCCCCTGAGAGCAGAAAGTGCTCTTTGCCTCGTGACCGTGTGTGCTGGTCCAGTGACACGAAGCACGGATGTGAGGCCCTAGCTTCCCAGGAGCTGAAGATCACTTACATGGCACCTGGTGGTTGGGGCCTCTGGGACAACAGTAAGCAGGGTTCCACGGAGTGTGTGCGCAAGGGTTGCAAGGCTGCACATGTGCACATGCTGAGTACCTCTGGGGGAACTCCTTGGACTGGAGCGGGGCCGGAAGGTCCTGAGGGTAACACACAGAGGTCAAGGGCAGAGGCCTTTCCAGCTGCCGGATGCCCAGGACATCTTGGGGCTGGGAATCGTCTGTGCTGGGCGGGTCTGGGGCTTCGTGGTTCCTGTGGGGCTGGGCCCACAGCCATGTCTCTTGGCCGCTGCCCCGGGAGTCTGCTGAGGCATTAGGTAAACTTTGGTCGGATTTGTTGGCGTCATGGCTAGCGTCACGAGAAGCTGCTGAAAGCTGAGATCCCAGCCACGGATGGTGCTTTCCCAGAAATGAAAACTGACGCTCTGGGAGGAAGGCGCCAGCCCCACTCCCAGACTCCTGTGCGCTGGCTGCAGAGGAGCCCGAGGGATGGTCTTCGCTGGGCTCTGGGTGCCTGCTGCAGAAGCTGTCGTCACTCTCCTCCAGGATTCTAGCACGCAGGCAGGTGACCGCCTGGGACACAGGCCACTGCGGGCTGGCGAGCGCCAGAGGTGGAGGAGCCTGAGCTGAGTCCCCAGGGGAACCGTCAGGGGTGCGGGGTGCCGACACACCGTGGGGTGCCGTGTTCCTTGTGCCGGGAGCAGGTGGTTCTGATTCCGCTTCCAGGGAGTCCTCTGGGATTGCCTTCAGCAGCTGGCTGGGGTACGGTTCTGACTCATCAACCTCCACAGGAATACTTCGGCTCATTCTAGTTCCTGGAACAAGAGAAAACATGCCACAGCCTCAGCAGACAGGATCAGTTCCCGGAGTCCCCACTTTCTGACCTCAGGGGAACTCACTCAAGAAGTGGTTTACATCAACAGTCGTGTGACACTGGTGGGGGTGCAGAGCCCCGATCCCATCAAACTGTCTCCTTATTCCCCCCACCCTGGGGCAAAGGCTCTAACGCTTATGCAGGTATTTTATCTGCACGGCAACTCAAAGGCAAAAACACCTGGTTTGTGACTGGCTCACCCTGTGGTGGAAGGCAATCCTCAGCGGGTGGAAATCAACCGCCAAGTACTAAGGAAAGAAATTATATCGTGACGTGGGCTGCTCCTTGTGTGTTTGGAATCATGGGGAAGTAAGTCCCAGTAACTGATCCAGAGTGAGCTCCAAAACCCATGAAGTGACAAACAGGAAGCAAGGTGCAGAACACGCACGCTGTGCACATTTGCAAGCGCGTGTCTGCTCGTGTATGTTCCGCGCACGTCTGGAGAACCCAGACAGAAGGACACCAGCTGCCTCTGAGGATGGAACCAAGCCGGGAGGGGTGACTGGAAGGAAGAGTTTGCATCTCTCGAACTTGTACAATTTGATTGTTGCCTAATTAAAACAATCAATAACAGTTAAACAACAGCAAAAGCAATCCCAAGTTGAGAACATGTGGAATAAAGGTCACAGTGACATTTTCGACTAAACGACTTGGGGTCATTTGGAGGATTTAATTCCTTCTGGGCACTGTGCCTGCAGCGAAGGTAGCACTGGCCATCTGGTCTGTGATGAAGCAGTTAAACTGAACCTGGCCTTTAACCACAGTCCAGGCAAGGTGGCTTTTATCCATAACAACAGAACTCTTCAGCAACCTGGCAGGCTAGGAAAGAAAGCAGTCTCCCCCCATCATTAGTTGGGTTGAGATGATGCCTTGGCTCAAGGGCTGGAGGGAAGCAGGCCGGGGAAAAGGCTACACGCAGGAGCATCTGGAAGCTTCCAGAAGCCTGCAGGACAGATGTAGTGAAAGAGCAAACAAGTAAGTGAAAAAGAAAAAAATAAACATCCCAGAGGCTTGGTTCTCGGTCAGGTCTTGCACCTCCCTGGCTTCAGGTTGGAGAGGCGGGGGGGACTGTGTGTGGATTTCTACTTGGGAGCCACACAGCGTTTCAACCACAAATGTTTATGGAAGGCTTGCTGTGCCTCAAGCCACGAAGCACGTAAATTATTGTTCGAGGACAAGCTTTAAAGAGTATGCATTCACGTTCCCCTGCGTCCTGTGCCCGGTCCAAAGGGATGATGAGCGCTTGCGCGGTGTGGCAACGCTCCGCTTCGCAGAGGTGGAGGCTGCAGTTTGCCACCGGAGTCCTCGCTGCCTACGGAAAGAGACATCTCCCCTCTCCAGTCCCTGCCAAATGAACCATCTCTGACACCTGTCACCCCAGTTCGTGTCCAGTGCACCCACCCACTGCTGCACAACCACCCTGGCACTGCTTTCTCACACAACAGGAAGCGCCTTCGGCTCCTAACTCCTGGCCAACCTCCCTCCGTCTTCCCCTTCCCTTCCCAGGCTACGTGTGTGTCCCTTGCCTCCCGGTTCATCACTTCACCTGATTGACCTTGCAAAAATTCCCAAGTATCTAACTGCAACCAAACATACTGCTACTTTTTAGTGTTTAAGAATGGTCACCACTCTTTTCCTTTCTTTCCCAGGATTTGTCTACAGCTACGAAACTCGATATGCCATCAGCTGGGCAGGAAGCCCCAGTCTTGTCTCAAGGGCTGGCTGAGTGCCCTGCAATCTCCCGTGAGCGTCTGGGAGCCCAGAGCTGAATGGGACGGCGAAGAGAGGCAGAAAGGGAGCCCGCTCAGGGCGGACTAGCTCCTGCTGCCGGTTTCTCAAGATGTGATTCGTTTTCATTCTTGGCACTTCAGGTACAACTGTTTACTTTCACCCTGGGTTTTCCAACATGAATGTGCTTCCCTTCCAAGAGAAAAAGCTGCAAATTCTATTCTTCGAGCTGAGGGGCCTCCAGGGCTTGGAGGAAGCTCATCTAAAAGAGGACAGAGGTGGGCGTTGGGCCTGGCAGTTGAAACGCCACCTGGGATGCCCACATCCTTTCCTTCCCTGGGAGTGCCTGGGCCCAAATCCCAGCTCCCTTCTGGATTCCAGCTTCCTGCTAATGTACAACCTGGGGAGTAGCAGTGAGGGCTCAAGTAGTGGGGCCTCTGCCACCCACGTGGGAGACCTGGATTCTACAGGCTCAGTACTCATCAGAAACCAAAAAGCACCCGCATGTTTTAAACACGCCACTAGCAAATATCTAAACAGCAAATGATGACCGAACTCCGCTCTGTGTTCAATTTGGTGGTGTGTATCCCCCTGCTGAGGCATGCATTTAATTCTTTTTTTTTTTTTTTACTTTTTTAATATCTATAAGTGCTACTTAATTCAATAGGAACAAAAGCTATACAGTGAAAATTCACAAAATTATTTCCACAGACACAGACACTGTCCCTACCATCCAGGTGCTAAGAGAGAAAACAAACACACAGGTGAGCAGCGGCTCTACCCCAGGGCCTTTGCTCTTGCTGTCCCCTCTCGGAACACCATTTCCCCACACATCTGCCTGGCTCACTTCTGTTCTCTTCCAGGTTCTCTCTCTCTCTCTCTCTCTCTTTTAAAAGATTTATTTATTTATTTATTTATTTGAAAGTCAGAGCTACACAGAAAGAGAAGGAGAGGCAAAGAGAGAAAGAGAGAGAGGTCTTCCATTTGCTGGTTCACTTCCCAGATGGCCGCAATGGCCAGAGCTGGCCAATCTGAAGCCAGGAGCCAGGAGCTTCTTCCAGGTCTCCCACGCAGGTGCAGGGGCCCAAGGACCTGGGCCATCCTCTACTGCTTTCCCAGGCCATAGCAGAGAGCTGGATCGAAGTGGAGCAACTGGGTCTCCAACCGGCGCCTGTGGGATGCCAGCACTTCAGGCCAGGGCTTTCACCCGCTGCATCGCAGCGCTGGCCCCTCTCCTCCAGGTTCTTGCTCGGATGTCACTTCCCATCATTTTTGCCTATGTTCCTTCTCTTCCCCCTCTCAGAGTCATCACCACCTTAGATCCTACCCAAGGCCTATTATAAATACATGAAAATACCTAACAATCCCTTGTTTGTTTACTCCGTCTGCCCTCCCTCCACTATTCACAACCATGTTCCCAGCACCTAGAAAGCTTTCTGGCCTTAGTCAGCACTCAGTGCAGATTTGCTGAATGCAAGAATGAGTGATGAATGAGGACGATCAGAGAAGAGACAGAGCCATTCATCGGAGGGGTCACTGACAGGGAGAAGGCCGTGGGGGCGGGGCTGCAGGGAGGTCCCAGGGGCTAAACTCTCAGGCCACTTGGGTGACCCCTCCTCCTCCCTCTCACAAACATTATTTATGTCCACTAGGGGTCAAGCCTCCATGGTGGTCCTGGGCCTTATCTATGAGGTCCTGCCCATGGCAGCATCTGCCCCAGGGCACACATGAGGGAGGGGCACTTACTGGGGTCACAGAGGACAATTATACCCCAAGGTTACAGCAGGGGGGCCACAGCAGATTAGTGGATATGTCAGAGCCAGCAGTTTTATTTGTTTTGTCTTTATTACGCTGTGGCATAGTCGGTTAAGCCTCTACCTGCAGTGCTGGCATCCCATTTGGGCACTGGTTGATGACCCGGCTTGTCCCCTCTTGCGACCCAGCTCTCTGCTGATGGCCTGAGAAAGCAGTGGAACATGGTCCAAGTCCTTGGGCCCCTGCACCTATGTGGGAGACCTGGAAGAAGCTCCTGGCTCCTGGCTTTGGATCATCCCAGCTCTGGCCGTTGCCACCATTTGGGGAGTGAACCAGCGGATGGAAGACCTTTCTTCACTGTCTGTAACTCTACCTCCCAAATAAATGAATAAAAAGAAATTAGGGACAGACATTTGGCACAGTGGTTAAGTTGTAGCTTGGGAAGCCTGCGTCCCATGTCAGAGTTCCTGCTACACTGCTCCCAATCCAGCTTCCTGCTAATGTGTACCCTGGGAGGCAGCAGGTGACGGCTCAGGTACTTGGGTCTCTGCCAGCCACATGGAGACTTGGATTATATTCCAAGCTCCTGGCTTCGAAGACCTGGCTGTTGCAGGTATCTGGGGAGTGCACCAGAGGATGGAGGATCTTTCTGTGTTTGTCTCTATGTCTCTGTCTCTGTTCTCTCTCTTTCAAATAAAATGAAAATCAATAAATTTTAAAATTGAAGCATACTGTGTAGGTATGCCACCCTTTGTATAAGACTGTAGATGAGGGTACTTCAAAAGAGTTGGTGGAAAGTGGAATTTAAAAAGTTAATTTGGGTGCAAAACTGAACATGCACATAGGTGGGTATTAAGCTAGGAAGAGGCTGGTCCCAGCGAGACCCAGCCAGCCTGAAACAGTACGCAGGCTGGGCCTTACTCATTCTGATCTGATTCCAAAAGCAGTCGTTTCTCTCCTCTGGAATCCCATCGCCCGAAGGACCGTGATCTCTGAAGAGTCTGACCAGCATCTTTCTTTAAACCTCTCTGTCACGTTCTCTCTCTCCAAAGCCTCTCACTTAGGGCTTCCTTTGTCTGCCTGGGCCCGAGACTGTCTCTGTCCAAGCAGCCTGGTTTTGCAGATCTGATCTTATGCACACATCAGCAGCCTTGACATCCCACGTGACGGCACTCCCCTGCTGTTGCGTTCGCAAAATCTCCCATCCTCCTGCACCTCTCCCCTTTTTTTCTGCACACAGCTCTCTGTCAAGCTCCTTGAGCTCCTGGCTCATGTCTGCTCCTAGCAACCTGTTCCCCCTCTGGCACATCCTGCCTTCAATTCATAGTTTCTCCAAACAGAGCCAGTTCATTTTCACAACACCACATTTCTCATCTCATTGCTCTTCCCCAATCTGCTTTTTCTCCCATCATGTGGCCTCCTTTGGTGCAGGCCCAGTAGACCCCGGCCTGCGTGGGAAGCAAGTCACTGGCAGGGCACATGCGAGCAGATCTAATACCCACATCCACAGTTAACTGTGGCTTCTGCCTTCCAGATGGGCTTGCCCTGAACCAACATGGAGTTCTAGGATGTGGGGAAATATGCAGTACGTATGTCAGTGCTTTGGATTCAGACTCCGTATGCTGAAATTCTTTCTCTATCTGCTGCACAGTCAGACCTGTGACCTTGACAAAATTATTTCACCTCTCTGAGTCTCATTTTCCTTGTCTGCAAAATGGGGGGAAAAGCAACACTTGCCCTATAGGGGTGTCATGAGAACAAAAGAATATGTAAATCACTGAATGTAGAACGTGGCCCACATCAAGCCCTCAAAAAACAATGACTATTTTGTTCTTTCTTACTGCAAGAAATGATTTGGCTATAGAACTTTTTAAAATAGATTTGTTTACTTATTTGATGCAGAGAAACAGAGAGAGCACGAGAGAGAATCTTCTATCTGTTGATTCACTCCCCAGATAGCCACAACAGCCAGGTCTGGACCAGGTAGAAGCCAGGAGCCAGGAACTCTATTCTGGTTCCCCACATGGGTGGCAGGGGCCCAAATACTTGAACTATCATCCTCCACTACCTTCCCAGGCGCATTGGCAGGAAGCTAGATTGGAAGCCCAGCAACCAGGACTTGAACCAGTGTTCCAGTATGGGATGCAGGTGTCACACGTGGGGGCTTAACCTGCTCTGCCACAACACCAGCCCCCTGTGGAACTCTTTCTTTAGACTATGTTCCCTGGTTTTATACACAGGTGCTAACATTATTACATGAACTCAATGTATGGAGAGTGTATATATATATATTTCTTAAAGATGTATTTATTTATTAGAAAGGCAGAGTTACAGAGAGACAGAGACAGAGGGAGAAGCACAGAGAGAGAGGTCTTCCATCCGCTGGTTCACTCCCCAAATGGTGGCAATGGCCAGAGCTGGGCCAATCCAGAGCCAGGAGCCAGGAGCTTCTTGCTGGTTTCCCAGATGGGTGCGGGGCCCCAAGCATTTGGGCCATTTTCCACTGCTTTCCCAGGCCATAGCAGAGGGCTAGATTAGAAGTGGAGCAGCCGGGTCTCAAACCGGTGCCCAGATGGGATGCTGGCAGAGGCTTTACCCGCTACGCCACAGCATCGGCCCCGGAGATTATATTTTTAACCAAGAAATGTACAATGTGAGTCATTTCCAGCACATTCTATACATAACATCTCATTTGGTCCTTAAAACAAGCCTGGGCCATAAGCAAGGCAAGAGACACCACTTTGGCATTCTTATGTTACACACTGTGCTTGGACACTTAAACTAGCCTAGATACATTAACCAGCTTAAACACATTAACCAGTTTTTCGAAAGTCAGATCACAAGTGTTTGGTGAAGCCAAATCTGGCCTATAGATCTCCTAGTTCTTTCCAGTAAACCACATAGAACAGGAGTTGGCAAACTCTATCTGCTAAGGGCCAGAGAGTAAACAGTTTCCAGCCATGTGCCATATGCTGTCTCTGTCTCATATTCCGCTTCTTCTTAAAAATGCAAAACCCATTCTTAGCAATAGGCCAATGCAAAAAATATCATGGGCTACCTTTGGCCCAACGGTTGAAGTTTACCAACTGCTGATATCGATGATGCTGATAAATCAAAATGCAAAGCTAATGACATACTTAAGAAACTTCACCCTGTGTTAGCCAGCATTTGTTCATATTCATTACATGGTTACTGTGTGTGAAGCACTGTTGTAGGAGCTGCCTGTATTCACTTACTCTATTCTCACAGCTGCCCTATTTGATTGTTACTGTTGTCAGCCCTGATATTTTGCAGATGGAGAAATTGAGGCACAGAGTAGTTAAGTAACTTTCCCAAGGTCGTATGTCCAGTAAGCAGCACAGCAAGGATTCAAACCACACCTGCGCACCTGGTTGGGAGCACTGAGCTGGTTCAGCTATGCAGGTGGGAAGGGGGAGTCACACAGCCCCTAGAAGCTTCTGGAAAAATAATGTGTTTGTGAACCATTCACCTTGAGGCTTAAAAGACATGGAAGCACACCACCTGTGTTCCGTACAGGATTGCCAGGCGGGAGCCCTAGGGTGGCTACATGAGGAATAAGTGCACAGTGACTCCTGTTGTTGACTTTAAAAATTGACACTCCTGTCTGTGGCATCAGTAATCTCCCTATGCTCCAGTCATGAGTTTCCAAGGCTATGGAAGCCCCTTGAGTTCTCCGACTCTTATCTTGTTTAGACAAGGTCATAGTCAAAGTGGAAGTTCTCTCCTCTCTTCCAGGGGACGACTCTGAAGCAAGGACGAAGGGATTTGATGAAGGTGTTGTGTCCCTGGAAGAAGACAAATCGCATCGCAAGGAACAGAGGGAGGGCAGGAGTGCACAGCCTGAGTAATTAATAAACCGCGTGAAAAGCTCCTAAATAATCATGCTCGGGGCTCGCCAACCGCTGGGATTTTTTAAAGCATTCTTTAGGTCAACGACACAGTGGAAGAGGCCTAGAGACACGCAACAGGAGTATTGCAGGTGGATTTCATTAATAAATATATGAATTTACAGCGGGGAGGATCAGATACTTTCAAATGATAGATTCTCAAGGCTTTATATCATTCCCCCAGAGAGCAATTTTTATGAGCATCTCAAAGTCATGGATTTAAAAAAAAAATCTGTAAACCCATTAACGTTGGTTCTTCATTCACTATCCCAGTACATGCAAACGTCCATAACGCTGGTTGGCTCCATGGACGGTTGGTTTTGAGTGAACTGTTAGGCTGTAATTCAAACTCCCATGATCAGATTCTTCCAGGTTTCCTTGCAGAATTTCCCTGACAGACAAGTTCTGCCACTAGGTTTGCCAGAGGATTGGCAACCGCGGTGAGCCCCGGAGACCAGGGGACACTTACTGGCCTTGGACACAACCCTGCACCGTCAGCTCCCCAGCAGGCTGGAGGCCCTGACCTGCCGATCTGCGTCGTGGGTCTCGGGGAGGCCCTAAATGAGGAGGAGGTGGACTAGCGGCCTGTAGCAAGCATTTGGAGAACAACCTCAGAACAGGCCACGGTTCCGCGCTGTCATCGTTTTATTTTCTTTTTTCAGATAAGACGGGTCTCTCCCAGCACACATTTTTCATCCCTAATTCAGTCCAGGCCGCACAGGGGAGAAGAGGAAGGGGTGAAAAGGGAGGGAAAGGAGGAGAAGAGAGTGGAAGGGGAGACAAGTAAGGAACCTGGGGAGACCCTGAAGTTTTTACTGCCCTAGGTAGGGATTTGGAGAGAGCCTTTTTTTGTAGTGGAATTTGGGTATCTCCTTGGGTCTGAGAAGGGCAGTGGGAAGGGAAGGAACGGATGCAGGTGAAAGGCAAGTGTGTTCTAGGCTAAGCCGGTGGCCAAGAAGGGCCGGGAACAGCTCAGGGTAGGAAGAGAGGTCAGCGATGGGAGGGGGAACCTTGACGCTAGGAGGGGAGCAAGGAAAATACTGGAATCCTGAGCTCAGGAAAACAATGAGGCAGAAGCTGCCAAGTTTCCCTCATCGCAGGAGGAGCTGCCAAGACCCCAGGCAGCCTGGGCCTGCGGGGTGGGGGCTCCAGTCAGTCCCTTCCTCCCAAATAGCTTGATTTCAGCTGCCTTATCAGGGAACCAGGCCAATTGGCCCAGCTCTGAGCGCCGCCACGTGGGTGAAAACCCACCCTTTCCCGGCCAGTTTACAATTCTGGTCTCCCGCAACGTATGCGCGCGCACACCAGAGTGTGCACCCACCCACCCACCCACACACGCACACGCGTGCGCGCGCACACACACACACACACACACACACACAGGCACAGGGTGGGCTGAGCAGCCAGCCAGCCAGCCGAGCACATGTGGGCTCCTGGGAGGCCTCCGGGCACGAGACACAAAGAATGTGGGAGGGAGACAGGACAGCCTGGGTTTCACCAAGTAAAAATGTCTTGGTGACAAGGCACTGGGAAGAAACAGGAGAGGCCCCGGGGACAGCTTCTGGCTTCCAACCCTCAGATGCTTTCTCAGGGAAAGGCTGCAAGATTGTTTGGATAAGGAAATGCGATCAAACAGTAGGGGTCACTTCCCTGGGCCTGGAAGGAATGTACAGTTGCATGTGCCTCCCTGGTGCTCTTTCCCCCTTTCCTGGACTTGCCTGCGGTGGCCTGCAATCCGCATGTGTTTTTCAAGACTAATCTAAAATTGCCTGCAGCAGGAAAATGATTTGAATCCAGGATAGTTCTGAGATTTCCATTCTGGGAGGGGCAAAACGTAGATTTAATTTAGACAAACTACCTTGCCATGATCTATCTTTCTGAGTGCCTATTAAAGAGCGCCCACGAATATGACTGCCTCCTCCTCCTCTTTTAATTTTCAGAGCATCTGAAAGTCACTAACTCCTTGATCCTGGGAGAAGCAGCCATTAACTCTTGCCATCTTAGCACCCTCCGAAAATGCATAGCCCTGAGTGAAGAATCTTTCTCCCCGACTTGAGCGTACCATGCCCAGCCTCAGCAGCCCACGCAGCAGAGTAACGGTGCCATGCCACCTCCCCCCTCTCCCCCCATGAACAAAGACTGGGGTGGCTTTTGTGGATCAAAGCTAGGCTGGCAACCCAACAACTAGCCTGATTTCAGAAAATACTGCGTCCTTACTTGAAAGTAAAACCAGGAACTCATCGCATTGAAAATATCTTGCCATTGCTGGCTTCTCCCATCGCGGGATGGTGGTGGGGGGATAGAGAAAGGCCACAGCAGGGTCTTGATACCCCCCACAGAAACAGGTTAGCCTTTCTGAAGCCCTGCACCAGCCCCACCCATCAGCTAGAGCCTGGACTGACAGCGAGTAATCATCCCAAGGAAGCAACAGCCATGCAAAAAACACAGTGGTGCTTTGGAAAAGGTTAAGAAGTCCATGTACACGCCCTCTAATGATGCATCTCGTCACAGTCATCACCCTCACGAGGGGTCAGCATGTGTCTCACCGTTTCCTTCCCATCCCGCTAAAGGCCCCCACACACTGACTGCTGGGGCAGGGGTGGTTTCCAGCTCCTGAGGAGCGGGCAACGCTGGCTCCCGGAGCCGGGGTGCCTGCCAGTTCTCTGGCCCATGTTGATTTTGGTAGCAAATGTGTGGGGACGATCCTTCCTTCCTGGGTAACCCAAATAGGATGTGAACTAACTCAAGAAATCCCTGGTTTTCTCCATTATTGTCCAGAACTAACACTGGTGCCTACAGTCAAGGCAGCCGGGCCCCGGGTGACTTGCCTGGGCCCCCGTGCCTCGCTCCAGCTTTTGGCCTGGAGAGCAGAAAGTCAGGAGGAGGCAGAGCCCCTGTGAGGCCTTTGATGGGTGCTGGCTTGAGGGGAGGGGTGCAGGGAGGGCAGAAAAGTACGAAGGAACCAAGTCCTTTTCCTCCACGGGCTAACGAACTGGTAGCAGGACGTAAAATTTATATAGGTGAATTATCAGCGAACAAAACAATCTTCTAAGACCACCCACTACGGCTACCCCTCCGGGAGTACCTTACCCTTGTTTTGTTAGAAGAGAATTTAGACCTGGTGAGTTCACCCTCCACCCGCCCTGCCCCCAAACACTTGACTATGAAGAAATCCAGGCTCCAGGAGCCAAAATCAATTGCCTAAGTCATGGCACTCCAAGGAGTGGAGCAAGAACTTGAAACCAACTTTCTCGTCTTCCTTTGTATTATTTATTTGGCCTCTTTCCTCCAGTTCCTTTAAAATAATAATAATAATAATAATAGCCTCCTAATCCACAAGACCACCTTGAACTTGAAACTCCCAGGAAGCCTGATCAGCTTCTAAGGTCAAGGACTAGCATTTATCCCCTTCGCTGGTTGCTTTTAGCGCCAGCAGTGGTCTGGACCGCTGCTTGGGAGGCGGGTGGGGGCTGCGGGGGAGAGGCCCGGGAGGCAGCTCGCAACTTCCTGGCCCAAGAATGTCATGTTGATTTTTTTTTAAAACCCCCCCCACCCCCGCAGGAAACTGGGATAGAGAAAATCTGGGAGTTTTCCTTCCCAGGCTGCCGCTGGCTGACGTGTTCTGAGGCTGGAAGCCAATGACTTAATCCTTGCCATCCCTGGCTCCCTCCTCGGAGAAATGGGGCTTGATTTCTTGCTCGAAACTTGTGGGGACACCAAGTACCTAAACAAATGGTTCCCAGGCAGCTCTGAAAAGTACCGGCGTGCGTGCCTCCTCTCCCCCAAACAGCTCATCGCGCCTGGCCCGTCTGGAACCCTAAACCAGCGGCACGTTCCCGAAGCACAGAGTCAGCTGTCATTTTCCCAGCCCCAGCCGCTCTCCGCACGAACAAGTGAAGTTTCAAGGCCGGCAGGGGCGGTAGGCAGAGGCCAGGAAGGCGGAACGTTTCAAGAGAGGAGAAAAGACAGCGTTTTGGAAAATGGGTCAGTGGTGAAGCAATCAGGCCGGCGCGCAGCAAAGCCGGGTAAACTTACCTTAGAACCGCCACGGCCGGACAGCCCGGGGCCCCAGGGTCGTCGGCCTCTCCAGGTTCTCCGCGGCAGGTGCCTCCCTCCGCCCTCCCCAGGCCCAGGTAAGTTGAAGAGCAGGATCTGAAGCCGGAAGTGGAAGTTGTATGCAAATCTCTACGGAGGCTAGGAAGCTTCGGCTCAAAATCTCCCTGTGGGCAGTGAATCAACGGGCGAGGAGTCACTTTATTTCTTAAAACAGAAACCTCCTGCGTTCACTAGAGAGGGCCAGTGGCCAATAAGGCTGCGTTTTTGGTGTGTGTGTGTGTTTTTTTTTTTTTATGTCACCACCCAGCTAAGAGGCTGCGGAGGAATATGGGGCCCGTGGTGTGACGGAGGGGCCGTGGCCTGAGAAGGTGTCTCCAGGACCCGAGGAGATGGGGCAGATACTGGGGAGGGGTGTGTCGCTAGAGCTTCTTTCTGTCTCCTGGGACTGCTTAAAACACCAGCATTTGCTCCAATAACCGTGGACGGGGGACTCACTGCCTGTGTTCCCACACTGCTCACGGGCACACACACACACAGAGTCCTCCCCTGGCGGCATTTTTCTTCTTTCTTCATTTTTTCTTTTAAAGATTTATTTGTTTGAAAGGCAGAGTTACAGAGAGAAGGCCAGAGAGCGAGCTCTCTATCTTCCATCTGCTGATTTATTTCCCCAAACGGCCGCAACAGCCAGGACTGCGCTAGGCTGAAGCCAGGAGACTGGATCTCCATCAGGATCTTCCATGTGGGTGGCAGGAACCCCAAGTACTTGGACCATCTTCCACTGCTTTCCCAGGTACATGAACCGGGAGCTGGATCAGAAGTGGAGCAGCCAGGACGCGAACTGGTGGTCATATGGGATGCCTGCATCACTGGCAGCAGCCTAACCCACTGCTCAGGCCCTGGGGCCCCTGGCTGCATCTTCCACAACCTCGTTGTTTAAACCCTACGGGATTTATCATGCGGAAGAGCTGCTGGGAGCAGGCTGATACCACAGCAATGCGCGGGGACGTGAAGATGGCTAACATGGAAGGCAGCACAGGTGCCAGGCGCTTTGGAGGGAGACCGAGGGAGGTACAAACCCAGCCGTGGCACTGGGCCACTTGCGGTGCTCCTGGGGCTGAACTTGTCTGCCTGTTGGGGAACTCTGAGGGTCAGCTCCCTGAGCTGGCTCAGTCTCCACCCTCATGTGCAAAACACTCCCTAGAGCACCCCACCCGACGGGGCTCAGCAAGGACATGTGAGTCAGGTTTTCTATGTCCTAAAAGTAGGAGACTATGAGGGGACTTCAGGAAGTTCAGGGAAAATGGAATGGAAAGATAAAAATTTTAAATATAAACTTCATTTCCCAACATAAACTCTACCAACTTCAAGACATTTTTGTCAATAATACCAGCCAGTTAGTCCATCCCTAAGGAGCTGAGAGTCCTGAGAATTTGTCCCGAAGCAGTCTTTCCCACCATTGACTGGAAGCAAATGAGTGCCCTTTAAAGTGTGTGCTTGTGTGTGTGTGTGTGTGTAACAAAAAGAAGTCAGAAGTAGCCAAACCAGGACAGTAAGGTGAATGCCTAACAATTTCTCATTTAAACTCTTGGAAAATCGTGCTTATTTGATGAGAGGAATGAGCCAGAGCATTATTGTGGTGGCAAGCAACTCTCTGATGAAGCTTTCCCAAGCATTTTTCTGCTACAGTTTTGGCCAGCTTCTTCAAATCACTTTTTTTGAAAAGCAGAGTTACAGAGAGGCAGAGGCAAAGAGAGAGAGAGTCAATCTTCAATCCACTGGTTCACTCCCCAGATGGCCACAATGGCCAGAGCTGAGCTGATCTAAAGCCAGGAGCCAGGAGCTTCTTCTGGGTCTCCCACATGAGTGCAGAGACCCAAGAACTTGGGCCATCTTCTACTGCATTCCCAGGCCATAGCAGAGAGCTGGATCAGAAGTGAAGCAGCCAGGACTCAAACCAGTGCCCGTATTGGATGTTGGCACTGCAGGCAGGGGCTTTACCTATTTACGCCACAGCTCCGGCCCCTTCAAATCACTTCTGATAAGTAGATGTCACCATTCTTTGACCTTCTAGAAAGTCAACAAGCAAAATGCCTTGAGTCCAAAAAAACCTGCTGCTGTGACTCTTGACAATCTGCTTGTGCTTTGACTATTTCCATCTTTCAGTAGCCGTTGCTTTGCTTATGCTTTGTCGTCAGGGTATTACTGGTAAAGCCTGGATTCACCTCTTTTTATAATTATTCAAAGAAATGCTTCTGGATCCTGATCCCACTTGTTTAAAATGTGTATTGAGGGGCTGGCACTGTGGCCTAGTGGGCTAACACTCCACCTGTGGCACCAGCATCCCTTATGGGTGCCAGGTCTTGTCCTGATTGCTCCTCTTCTGATCCAGCTCTCAGCTATTTCTTGGGAAAGCAGTGGAAGATGGCCCAAACACTTGGGAGACCTATAAGAAGCTCCTGGCTCCTGGCTTTGGATTGGCCTAGTCCTGGCCATTGCAGCCATTTTGGGAGTGAACCAGCAGATGGAAGATTTCTCTTTGTCTCTCCTTCTATCTGTAACTCTGCCTCTCAAATCAATAAATAAAATCTTTTTAAAAATTTGCATTGAAAGCTGTGCTCCTGTTTGCAGCTGACCAGGGCACAATGATTTGGGAAGCCACCAGGCAGAAAGTTTGCTCTACTTGCATTTTTCAGCCAGAATTGTACAAGCTAAATGAGTTGAGCTGTCTATGATGTTGGCCGTTGTTTCTGTCCTATTCTTAGGACATGAACAGGAACGATCTTTTCTTTGCAGACTGATGTGCCTGGTCTACCACTGGGGGCTTCATCCTTACATCATCTTGGTCTCTCTTTAAAAGAGTCATATATCTCTAAACTGGGGATTTCTTTGGGGACATTGTCCCATTAACTTTTTGTAAAGCACGAAAAATGTTCACCATTTTTCTTCCACATTCCAGATTCACAATAAATTTTTTTAAAGATTTATTTTATTTATTTGAAAGACAGAGTTACAGAGAGAGGTAGAGACAGAGAGGTCTTCCACCCACTGGTTTACTCCCTAGATGGCTGCAATGGCTGGACCTGCGCTGATCCAAAGCCAGGAGCCAGGAGCTTTCTCTGGGTCCCCCATGCGGGTTGAGGGTCCCAAGGACTTGGTCCATCTTCCACTGCTTTCCCAGGCCATAGCAGAGAGCTGGATCGGAAGTGGAGCAGCCGGGTCTTGAACCGGCGCCCATATGGGATGCCAGTACCACAGGCCAGGGCTTTAAACCACTGCACCACAGCGCCGGCCCCATAAACTGGGGATTTCTTTGGGGACATTGTCCCATTAACTTTTTGTAAAGCATGAAAAATATTCACCATTCTTCAACACTCAAGATTCACAATAACTTTGATGTCTGTTCTTACCTCAATTTTGGCAGAATTCATGTTGCTGTGATAGGAGGTCTTTTCAAACTGATGTCTTACTCTAGTGTCTCAAACTAGATCCTGTTGAACCATATTATAACAAGTTAGTGCAGGTTTATTTTGGCATAAGAAAGTGTTGAGGTGTTGTGGCATAGCAGGCTAAGCTGCCGCCTCCAACACTGGCATCCCATATGGGTGCTGGTTCGAGTCTCAGATACTCCACTTCCAATCCAGCTCTCTGCTAATGCTTCTGGGAATGCAGCAGAAGATGGCCCAAGTACTTGGGTCCCTGCAGCCATGTGGGAGACTTGGTAGAAACTCTTGGCTCCTGGCTTCTACCTGGTCCATTCCTACCTGTTGTGGCCATTTGGTAAGCAACCCAGCAGATGGATGATCACTGTGTGTGCGTGTGAATGTGTGTGTGTGTCTTCTCTCTCTGTAACTCTGCTTTTCAAATAAATAAAAAAAATTAATTTTTAAAATTAACTTTAAAAAATTTTTTATTTAAAATTGTATTTGTTTATTTTATTTATTTGAGAGGCAGAGAGAGAGCAATCTCCTATCCACTGGTTCACTCCCCAGGTACTTGCATCAGCTGGGGCTGTACCAGGCCAAAGTCAGGAGAGCCGGGAACCCTAGGTCTTCTGTGCGGATGGCAGGGACCGAGTACCTAAGCCATTACTTGCTGCCTCACAGGGTGTGCATTAGCATTAGCAGGAGTCTAGAATGGAAAGTAGGGCCAGGACTTGAACCCAGGTATTCTGGAATGAGGGAGTCCCAAGTGGTGACTTACTTGTTGTACCAGATGTCTATCCCCTTGAATTTTGAAAGTCTACTTGTATGACTTTTTTTTTTAAGCTAGCATATAGGGGGATAGGCATGTGGCACAGTGTTTTATGTCATTGCTTGTGACACTTGCATCCCATGTCAGGCTGCAATTTGAATCCTAGATGCTCTGGTTTCAATCCAGCTTCCAGTGAATGCATCCTGGGGAACAGCAGGTGATGACTGAAGTTCTTGGACCCGTGCCACCCATGTAGGAGGCCCAGACTGTGTTCTGGCACTTGGCTTCATCCAGGTGCAGCACTAGATATTGCAGGCATTGGGAGAGTGAACTAGCAGATAGAGGATAACTACCTCCTCTTTTTCTGTCACTCAGATTTTCAAATAGATGGAAATCAGTAAACATTTAAAAATAACATAGATGTGTTACATATGTTTTTGTACTTCCTTACACCAGAATATTATGTATGCAGCTGTTAAAAATCATAAACATTGGGGCCGGCACCGTGGCAAAGTAGGTTAATCCTCTGCCTGCAGCACCAGCATGTGGGTGCCGGTTCTAGTCCTGGCTGCTCCTCTTCTGATCCAGCTCTCTGCTATGGCCTGGGAAAGCAGTATTAGATGGCCTAAGTACTTGGGCCCATGCAATCCACCTGGGAGACCTGGAAGACGCTCCTGGCTCCTGGTTTTGGACTGGTGCAGCTCTGGCCATTGTGGCCATTTGGGGAGTAACCAACAGAAGGTAGACCTTTCTTTCTGTTTCTCTCTCTCACTGTCTGCAACTCTACCTATCAAATAAATAAATAAAATCATTTAAAAATCATAAACATTTATTCATGTATATACATATCTCTGCTCATTAGCATGGAAAAGTGGCTCTGAGACATTATTAAAAAGCATTGCCTTATTTTTGCCTATATAAGACAGCTAAACGCACACATACTCACATACCTAGATTCATGTTTGTTCATCACTAGTCCTCAGCT